ACCAGGTAGCAGATGGTCCATTGTGACACCTACCTGGTAGAATTAGTTTTATTTTATCATATTGGCATTAGGAACATTATTTATTTGGTTTTTTTTCACTTTAAAGCACATTATTAAGTATATCTGTAAGAAATTATTTTATCTTAAAATTACTAAATGCTAGTTTAAAAATGCTTCAAAAATACGAGTACGTGTTAATTTTAATGTAACTTATATTTTTAGTGTTATCATTTTCATTAGGGTAGAAAAGCTTCTGGCCCCAGAAGCTTTGTGAGTGTGATGAGTTATTTCAAGGATATAAATAATAAGGTAGAAGGAAGTTCTAATGGTTTTGCTATTTTTCTATCATTTTTATTAATGGTTCTGTACAGCTTTGAAGATCTATTGCACTCTGTAAGTGCTAAGTATTATTTAATAGTAACTGTTTAAAATGACTGAAATAGAAAGGGTTATGGTCTTGGGGGCTGATTAGGGAAATAACTGAATTTAAACCCAGTCATTTTAGTGCCTTGGCCCATAAGCCATGTGTCTTTCTAGGGGTGTGACTTTAGCATTGTTTAGGTTTTAAAATACAGTTCTGGGTTGTAAAGAATTAATGGAAAGTAGGAGCAATGACTGATTAATTATTTTTCTTAAGAAAGATTTTGGTTGAAATAATAAATGATGTAATTAATTGTAGACCTGAAAGTGTAAGTAAAGACACTAAAGCTGCCTCACAGGCAGGGAGGTTTAGTTGGTTCATCTGAATTTGTTTACACAATTTGAACCTTATTCAGTGTGTCGTAACGCTCATGTAAACTCTACTATATATAACTAATTTATCTGAAATGTCTAGTCTAGCTTAAATTTTGTTGGGTTTTAAATTACAGTGCAAAGTCTTTTATTTCTGAAGAGCTCTTACCTAAATTTTGAGATCATACCTGAACAATACTTTGTGTGACCATGTAGTGCTTAAATAATCTTGTGATAGTTACCATCAGTAGTCCCAGTCAGAGATTATTCTCGTTATGCTGAAGACCTCCTTGCCCAGAGAACCGTGTCATTTTTCTTCCTTTCTTTATTGTATACAGCTGTCCTTCCAGCTGAGATACTTCTTCCACGAAGGGGTGGGGGAGGTGTATAAAGTTCCATTTTCTGAATACTACTACTTCCCATAGTGAAGTAATTGCCCTTGGCCTTTTAACCAGAAAAAAACCCAACTTTTTTTAACCACTGGGAAAAGAAAAAAAAAAACAATAAAAAAGAAACCAAGACTAGCAAGGTATCTTGAGATAATTGGGAAAGCACTGTGATGATGAGTACAAAAAATAATTTTTTATGGAAAACCAGCTTTGTTTGCTTTGTTGTTTCAGAAGCTATTTTCACGGTTATCTAGAGATGTCAGAACTTTGCCTAAAGAGCATCCCTAACCTACAGGAGTTTGAAGCAGTGCTGGGAAATCCAGACTTGACCTTTCAGCAGACATACCATTTTAGCTACTGGGAATGCATCACTGCTGTGTTGCTTGTGATTGCCCTTGATGTAGACATCCCTGTCTCAGCTTCAGACCAACCTCTTGCCCCAAGCTGCCATCTGCAAATTGCACTTTGGTGGGAGTGGAACTCTCATACTCCCATCTGACAGCTGGTTACCTCTGTAAGAGGTGGTTGGCATTCCCTTGCCTGGCACTGCTGCTGGGCTCCTGCCTCCTTTATGTTGATGTTGTAGAAGGCCAGTTCAGAGAGCTCACAGGGCAGAAAACTAAGTGTAAAGTTGGTTACCTTACAGCTCCCCAAGACATTTCACTAAGGGAGAAAAGAGTAGTGAATCTCCCCTTTTGGCCATTAAATTAGCTGCAGTAAGAAAAATACCCATTGGGGTGGACTCCCATGGGCAACTGGCAGCTCCAAGGCTGTGCTTCCGTTGAAACAAATGGTCTTGCTGGTCCTACCTACTTTCAGCCATAGCTGTGAACTGGATCTGATTTGGATATGAAAGAAAGCTTCAGTGTCTGCTGTGCCCACCGACACCCAACCCAACACCCCAAACTGAGCACAACACAAATAATCTGCAAATTTTGAACCTTACTTGGCATGTGTAACGCTCGTGTAACCTCTACTACACAACTACTCTACACGTGAACAAACTCAGGTGAATCAGCAGCCTGATTTGTTTCCTTGCTCTGGCAGGAATGGGTGGAATCACATCTTTTGACAGCAAGAGGTAGTTTGATCAGTTTATGCTGACTGAGAAACAGGGAAGTTAGATGGAAACCGAAAAATAAAGTTTCAGTTTATTTAGTCGTAGTCAATTGTACGCAGTATTTCTCAGCGTCTCCGTACAGTGCTGGAGCAACGGTGTCATTTACCTCTTTGAAACAAAACCAAAGTTTATCATGATTTTATTTACCACAGTTGGAGTGCATTTTTTTATTAAACTTCATTAGGACAGCTTGACTTTCAAACTAATTAAAACACTACTGTTTGTCTTGTTTCCAAAAATACTTTGTTTTTAATATCACAATCCCTTAGCCAGGAGAAGAAAGAGTAATTAAAGTTATTCTCAAGTTGCACAATTTAGTTTATTTAAAAATGCTTTATATAGTTTTTAGATGAAGTTATAAATGTTCACTTTGGAACTACCTGAAGATTAATAGTGATGCATTTGAAATGCATTATTTTTTTATTGATTCTTAATGTAGTAAATTACTGAAGTTATTTGGCAGCAAACAGAAATAGCCAGTGATGTTGTTCACATTTATTTTCCTGATAGCGTCACAATTTGCATTAATTGCATTGCAGCTGCACTCACTTATATTAAAAAGCTTCTACTATAATTAATCCTTTTTATTTCAAATCATTTTGGCACAATTTCTAGCAATAAACACTCATAAAAGACAGACACTTGAAAAATAACATACAAGTTTCTTCAGTATACCTATTGCTGCTTTTCCCTGACAAGGAATTATTGATAGGCTTCTAGGATCAAGTGTTGCAAGTGGCTAAGACTTAAGACCAGTTTGAAAAATGCTAAGTGGATTATTTTGCATAAAAAATAGACAGGTTTTGAATTTGTGTAATTAACCTGTGTTTAGAAAATACCTTGATTTATGTCTACATTTGTATTTCAGTTGCATACATTATGGAAATTTAATTTATAATCCATTTAGCTGATGTGATCATAGTTTTTAGTGCTATCATTTATTAGTCCTTGTATATTAAATGCTCTAAAGGCTTAAACCTGCCTCGTGTAAAAAATTACACCTCTACATTTACATTTTATGAGTCATAGATGGAATTCCATTTTAAATTCGGGTAGCTTTGATATATTTAAGGAATTACAATGGCTTTATTGTTACTAATGCAGGAACAGCAAACACTGACCTTATACATTGCAAATTAATGATTTATCCCTCTAGTTTGCTTTTAAAGTCAACTATACAAATGAGGATTTCGACTTCTACACCTTGAATAAATCATATAGCTCTAAATATAATGCACCCTTTGGCTTTGAACTCGTTATTCTCAATTCTTTCTGCAAGGTTTAACTCACCTCATAGAAACATTCTTTCAAAAGTTTAAGGAATTGTGGATATTTTTCTTAGCGTCTTTGTTAGAATATCATTGAGTGATTACAGCTACATTTAGTCTTCTTTTTTCTTTTTTTTTTTTTTTTTTGTTTTCATAATTCTGGAATCATCCCTTCAACTTCATTTTTGTTTTTTTTTTTTTTTTTTTTTTTTTTTTTTGGTTCATTGTGCTTCCTTTTCTAAGTTTGCAGCAGGTTATGGAGGAATTAATGCTAAAACATTGCTCTTGAAGAGTAGGAAGAGAAAAACCAATAATGTTATGTTGATGATGCCTTTTCTGATCAGCCTGGCAGTGATATTAATGATGCGTAAAGATTTGGTTGTCGTTGTTAGAGATGCTGATGTGGCAAACAAACTGGACAACGGGAAAGGCCATGGGCAGACAGTGTGTTTCAGGAATGTTTTCTTTAAAGGCATCAGTCTTTCATTTTTCCATTCATTCATATAGGCTTTCTCTAAATGATGTCGTGCTTTCTCTTTCTAGTTCTGAAGTTTCCACCTCTCTCTCTTTCAAGAGCTGCCAAAGTACTTTTTTCTTCCAATTAAGAAGTTGTTACTTATTGTATGAAAGATACGGAAAGTTGCTTTGCATTACATGGAAATGTGGTGATACCATAGATCAACTGAGAAAGGCATTGCTGGAGCTTTGGACGTTTTTTGAAAATTCTTGAGGGAACTCAGTAAAAATATGTTTTTCATGAATGCTGCATGTTGGGGTCAGGCTCATTTTTGGGTCAGTAATCTTTTGACACTTGTAACAGCGTTAGGCACAGGAAGGATTAGGCATATAATACAGTCATAGCTGGTAAACTCTCTGCTTGGAAATTAGGATGGTTTGATGATGCATTAAGCAGTAAATTCACCAAAAGTATGGAGTGATGAATCTGTATAACATAAAAGAGAAATGGTTTATATGGGTTAGTTTAAAATGTACTGCTTTTTCATAGTTATATTTAAGGGGCAGACTATTTTACATGTAGCAATTGATATGGAGAAATGTTGTTTGTGATGATGCTAATGGAGGTAGAGATGCTCACTTTTTTTGGAAGACATTCTTAATGCAGTTGCATTATCCTTCAGCAAACTTTTATTTTCTTGCCAATCTATGCAATTGATGCACTTTTTGTTTGCTATCATACTTTGGACAAGAAGATTAATGACAGATAAGCAGTGACCTTACCTTTTAAATCACTAAATACTTAATTTGTAAAATTTGGGAGCTTGGTATTTAAAAAGAATACTCGAATTTCTAACTTTGGATGAGTATTTTTAAATTCATGCAATACCTGGGCTATTGCCATACCAGAAGATCCTATTCAGGCACCAAATTAAGACGGAATTACCAGACAGTTGAGAAAAAGACAATAGCCTTCAGAATTCCTACATGTACAACGATAAAATCTAATGTGCTTTTAATTGCTTTGTTTTTCAGGCTCTTTACGAAAATATGCTGGTGGAGCTGCCGTTTGCTAGTTTTTTCCTCTCAAAATTGCTGGGGACAAGTGCTGATGTTGACATTCATCATTTAGCTTCCCTGGATCCAGAAATGTACAAAAATTTGCTTTTTCTCAAGAGCTATGAAGGGGACGTGGAAGAACTTGGACTAAACTTCACTGTGGTAAATAATGACCTTGGGGAAGCACAGGTAAGAATGGCTTTCGCTTTTTTTTTAATGTATGACTGATGAATCATTATTACTACTCCTAACTCATTTTTTAATTTAAAAGTGACTGTAAAGAACTGGTAAAGGCGCGGTGAGGCATCATAGGGATTCTGAATCAATATTTGAAATAGACAATAATTAATTGTGTACTTAAAAAGAATAACTTTTGATGATGACTTAAAGCTCTGGTCTTTTAAGAGTAAACTGTAGTGATTGTTTTCTAACAGTCATACATGAAAAGCTCTATTGTCTGAGATAAAATATTTTGTTTAAGAAATTATGTTGTTTCTTTGATTGCAGTTCAAATAATTGCAAAAGTTAGATGACATGTAAACTACAGAAGTACTGTCTGATTTTGGAATCAGAAATCAGAATGTTTTTAAATAATAATCAGAATGTTTTTAAATAATAATGACTCTTTATTGTGAGATAAGCGTGGTCTACTTTAGCTGTAATTTTCGAAGTAGAGGACCTGAAGTTAGATAATTTTATTTTAAATCCTTTTTTTTTTTTTTTTTTTTTGTGGGGTGAGAGAAGGGGGAACGGTCTACTTTAGCTGTAATTTTCGAAGTAGAGGACCTGAAGTTAGATAATTTTATTTTAAATCCTTTTTTTTTTTTTTTTTTTTTGAGAGGCTGAGACAGCAGGTGAATCAATCAGGTGGGAGAACTGAGTGTTCAGTGCATCTAGAAATTGAACCAGTTAGTTAGGTCCTTAAGTATTTGAGTTCTTAACACAATTATACCATATAATTAGGTTATGGCTCTGTTGTGGGTGCTAAAGATCACTCGTGCTCATAGTAGAAAATCAACACCGCCAGAGCTTGAAACGTGTGCCTTTATTTGCTAATAGGGTTAACCTCCTTGGTTAAAGTCTTGTCATGCTGCTTCTTTCGTCTTCGAGGATTTAAAATTGTGCACTGCTCATGGCCTACTTATACTTCATTATGGTATTTAACTAATAATTGGATCAAAAGGGTAGACGTGACAACATTGTGACATGCAGCCGCATCTGAATTGAGCCTTGTTTCTTGTGGAAGAAGCAGAGGCTGTAAAAGGGAGGCGTGAGCACTTCTCTTGGCTTTGCCTGTTGGTCAGGGAAGCCTGGGACCATGCACACCTCACAGAGCAGCATCACTGGAGGCCTGCAAATTGTTAGGTTGTTGAGACTTGGACTTTATCTTTACTCTTCTCTCATCCATTTCCTGTCATTTTGGAAGATCCCAAAACCTGGATTGCATTACAATTTTATAATAGTATCCTCAGATTTGGGGTTCCTGAATCATACTGAAGGGGAGAGTCAACAATTGCCTGATAGAAGTAATATTTCATATTAAACATAGGCCATATGTCATTTTTCCTCTGGGTTACACTTCTTATATGAAAACTTCTGACCTGCACTGTTGTTAGAAAAACATTCAAAACCTTGAAATAAAGGCATGTGGTACAGATGTATGTTCTTAGAGCACCTACTCTGTTGTACAATATTGTACAGTTGAGCCCATGCTCTGTTCCAGCATGTGCTGTTAAGTGACCCATACTCAGTTCTGTAGCATCCATCTATTTGGTTACTTGGTTGAAAGACACACAAGATGACCGTTTCCAGTATAACCCAGAATTTTCTGGGAGAAAATAGAAGTCTGTTGTTTCTATTCCAAAGCCATTCATTTGCACTTAAAGTAATAGTTTTGTTTATCACAGGTAATACAAATGCAGTTTAGTCTCTAATTAAAAATGAGAAGTATCTAATATTTTCTGGAGAGCTTGTGGTTTCCACGCTTCATACATCTACTCTGTATGTCCTCAAAAATTAGCCAGGCAAGTTAGAACCTGCTTCAACATGGAAGGTAGGAGGTCACAGAAAAGAAAAATAGCTCAGAAATAAAATACAAGGAGATCCAAGTTAGAGATGTGTCCAGCTCTACCTACTGCAACAAAAGCTTGTAAAAAGTGCTTTCTTGCCAAGAAGCTTAATTTGTTCGTTAAAATTCCCTTGAGGGCTATGTCTAGTATTACCAAGACTTGATTTTTAATTGTTTGGCATAACGTTGAAAGGAAGATTAAATATAATAGCAAGTTTCTGAGTAACTAAATGAAATGTAAGTTAAATTAAATATTCTGATCCCGTATTGCTGTTTATGCTTAGAGACAGGACACAATATCCGTGAAGTATTAACCATCTTTTAATGAGACTGCATGTTAGTGTAGTTCAACAGAACTAATTGGTTCTTGTCACTGTCTTCTGTGTTTTAATGCAACAAGTTACTTTTTATATTTCATTTCATTATCTTAATAGACCTCATATGGATAAATACGTTTTGTCTGGTATTTGACTTGTGTAACCGTTGCATACTAATTAATTGTGTCAAGGTAAGGCTAATTCACTTTGGGAAAAGAGCTTAATTTGCACTCCTTATGTTGAATGTACATTATCTCTAGTTTTCAGCTAAACAACCACTTTAGCCTCTAATAAATTAGCACCCAAGAAATGCATCATAAATCTATCATTGTAAATAGCTATCCTCGTGACAGTGTCCATCCAGCAATTGGGGCACAAAAGCATTATCTGCAATGAAAGACACATTCCAAAGGGGCTCTATTGCTTCTGTCAGTAATATAAGGTAGAAATTCTATTATCAGCGTATTGATCCCAATCCTGTAATGTGCTTTTAGATCCCATTAAACTATTGTCAAAGTGCATTCACCAGAAGTTGAAAAAGGTACTTAATAATTTGCACATTAGACCTGCTAATTAGGGGAGCTATGCCATCAACCTTATCTTCCAACCCCAAATAGCTTTAGCTTTTGATAAAGAACTATCTAATGCTGTGATACCAGCCTAGACTTCAACTGTTGGATCTGCTGCATTAAATAGTGGTCAGTAAAAATGTCTCAAAAGAATGTTAGCCTGTAGTTACAGGTACCTTCAGGTAGATGTGTAGATTTATTTATTTTTCCTTTTATCTTGTAGATTAGGTGATGATAAAGTGGTTATAAAACATTTATAGTAAGTGGAAGGTTAAATTCAAGAAAATACCTCCTCTTTTCAGACTTTCTTCCCTTCCTGCCCCCTCTGTCTCAGTGAGGAAGGTGAGTTTTGTGGTTGCCCAAGGGAAGAGAGGAAGATTCAAATATGTATTCTTCTTCCTTCAGAAACGTTAGATTCTGTACTCCAGCCAGTCTTCCCAAACATTGACTCTTGAGATTACATGGATCGGAATGATTGAATATGAGATGAGTCCGTAATCAGAAGACTCCATAAATGAAGTGTGGAAACACAAATCCCCAGAAAATCACTATAATATATATAGCAGCAGTTTCTATGAAATCCATATAGTGTCAGGACACCGTCTGTGGCTTTTTAAAACAGATGTGAATGCCATCGCTGTTACTGAAAATATGTTGACTCACTAAAGGACAGTACTTTGCCTTGAAATTTCCCTGAGAGAAAATTTTGAAGCCTTAAAAACCATTCTGAAAGTTTCTGTCTTGGCAACTTCTTTACTAGGATACAGTGGCTTAGATGAATGATTTTGGAGGTTATTCAGAAGGAATATACTGAAGTTGAGGCTGATCCTTCTCAGGCAGATTTATAACACTTACGGCAAATGCATTCTTAGGCATTCAAATGCAATCTCCTACCTGGAACTCCTGCCTGAACATCTGGAAGGCAGATGACATGGAAAGAAAGCAAGCTTTTATCTACTGGTTTTCAGAATGGGGAAAAACTTTAGGGGTGATGTGAACAAAAGTGATCAGAGTCCAAGAGAGAAGGTAAAATATTTTAATCTGTCCTATAAACAAGTTTATAAGAATTCTTGACTATCTCTAAGAGTGCTTTTTGAAATTGCACTGGAGATATGTCTTACGTCTTCATACACAAAAAAAGAATACCTGTATGACAGGTCACTTATTCTTTCCTAAAATATTTCCCACTTTACCCTCATTCCTTTTTCTCCATTATCCTGGGGAGCAGCTGCCACTGCCAGATCTGTGTGAGCAGCAGCTAGCATGAAGTTTGTCTACTAACGGAGTTGCCGTTGTCTGCTCACAATCACATTACAAAGCAATTTTGTGTGACAGATTATTATCAGTAAACCAGAAGATAAATCCCCTGAATTCTGCTTGACAAATACTATGTTGTTCACTGCTTATTTATGTCATTATTATGCTAATGTTCAAAACAGTAGATATAATACTGAAAATGATCAATTGTTTGAACTATTCACTTGAACTGCAACCATACGTAAAATAGAGATGTACTTTTTTTTTTACAAACAGTGGTGATTTTCTTAAATAAGAATATAAATGTAAGTTGAGCATATTTCTGTACTATTGTACTTGCAGAAACATGTAGTTGAATTTCTAGCCAAGAAAATGGTAAGTGTGTGCAGCCGTACTTTCGAGTGTATCTAACCTGCAGTCAGAGGCCTAATGCAATATTTCTGTCCACATCACTAAAAATCTGCACTTTGTCGTGCAGATTTTTAAAAATATGGGACTTTTCTATCCCATTTTGATACTTCCCTTTCATTTTGAAGACATACGTTGTGACTATGGAATCAAATTCAGTTATCTGTGGTATTGTCTGAATCATCTGAATACTTCTCTAGTTAATATGTATTATTGATAAAGAGCCAAGTTAAAATGTTAGGTTTGTTTTATTTTTTTAAAACTTAGATATAAAAGATAGAAAATAAGGTGATGACACAAGTTTGCACGTTTTGTGAAGTTTTCTATTCTCGCCCGTCTTGTGTAACTGTCTTGCGCCATCTAGTGGTGAATGTTGGATGGATAAAAATAAAAAAGCGAGCTGATAAATCTTTTTAGATTTTATAAATTGTGTTGTGGCCTTTTTGAAAAGAAACTCTTCAACAATCATTCCTGACATTTAGGATTAAGTGGGAGTTCTGCAATATCCCCTTTAAAATGCCACGAAAACAAGGAATGAGTAAAAAGTGAACTACATCTCCGTTTATTATATTATTAATGCCAGCCCAGGTGTTAGCATTTTCTGGCTTGTGTTTTACATCCTCCTTAGCCTTTATGGCATAAAATACATATTATTCCTGCTACATTAGTCCCTTTGTTTCAGACTGTGATGATACTTTCGCAAAATGGTGGTAGAATTAATCTCATGTTGACAAACTCTGAAAATGGATAGTTAGATCACTGGAAAACCCCAGCAAATGTGATTAGTGAATGCTGTAGTCTTACTTGTGGCAATGCAGCGTTAAGGGGAAGAAAATACAGAAAATTTGCAAGTGGGCAGATAGCGAAGTATTACTAGTGTTGAGGTCTCAGCAATGATCTGTTCATGTGGAACATCATTGGTAGCTCTGGTCCTGCAACACTAAAGAGGACAGGAATTTAAATAAGAGTAAGAGAAAGCTTTCTGATCTTGTTAGGCTTCGTAAAAGAGTGTGTTTTAGGAGGAAATTAAAGGAACATGACTTATTTCAGTTCTGTGAAAAAGTCTCCAGGAAGATTAATGAAGTTTTTGCCCATAAGTAATACATCATGGAAATAATTGAGGAGGAAGGTAAAGAGCTGGTTAAGCTGTAGTGCACTATTGAAATAAGAAAAATCGGTATGAACAAACTTTACCCATTGGACTCGAAGTGGAATTCTTCTCCCCAGAAGAAACCATCTGGCCTCTGGGGTCCATGGTTCTGGTGGAAGGGGACTCGCTCAGAAGGGAGCAAGCTTATGTGTGGAGGGTGTGAAAGAGTCAGCTAAACTGGCACCTTCATGTTACTTAATTCTTCAGGGAGTAGGATTTGAAAATTGTCAGTACTACCTACACCCAGAGATGGTGGGGTATTGATGGGGGTTTTTACTGTAGGTGTAACAAAATCAAGAAGCCTGCAGCTGAAGGATTAAAGTAGGAAGACACATTTTTAACACCTATTGTAATTCAGATGGTTCTAGTGTATCAAGCGAAGTGGTAAATACTCCATCACATGGAGGGCTTACACCAGGATTGCCTGTCTCTCTAAAAAATGTGCTCTAACTCATCTGTGGATTTATTGAGTTAAATACAGGAATCTCTAGACAGAATCCTCTGGCCCATGTTATCTCAGAGGTCAGATTCACAGATCTTAATGTTCTCTTTTGGCCTTAAAAACCTATGAATCAAGTAAAAATCTGAAAGCTCAAAGACACTGCAATTTTTTGATCTTGTGACTGCATTTTGCTTAGTACTGGAGCAGCTGACATTAAGTAGGATGTTACAAGAGAAGCTATTCACATGCTTAATTCCCTGCACTCTAAAGATGTGATTGTTATCACAAACTGAAATTTAATTAAATAAATAAATTATTAATTAAATAAAAAAATAAAAAATTGCAGACTCCAAAGTGTAGAAAACCAGACTTTTTTCTGAAGGCTTCAGAAGGTGACTGTATCTCAGCTTTTCAGTTTTTTTTTTTAATCCTTCTCTTATTACTCAAATAATCCTTTCAGATTTCGCTACTACTGAGCAAAATTATCATCCTGTAATAAAAAGTAGAATATGTCAAGGTCAGGAGTGTTTTAATAACAACTACTGTTGATTCTGGTTTATATCTTAGTGCAATTACAGTATCTTTGTTTTGTTTTTTTCATTACCAATTCTTCCATGCTGAGGTATCTCAGTGTACTTGAAGGACAAAAACTTCTCAGCAGAAAAACAAGGCTTGATTTTTTTGTTTTGTATTTTTGTTGAAAGAACTGCACATGTATAGCTTGGATTTTCAACAGTAGGAATTGTGAATGCTTATTGTTCTGTCAATTAGGCTTGTATCAGAATCTTAATTTTGACTCAGTAGACATTACTTTTGCCGTGGTGTGATCCTGCAGAATTCACGATCACTTAACAGTTAGGGAAGAGCCTGGGCAGTCAAGCAGAGCTTTTCTAGTCCAACTGGGAGGAGAGTGCTTTGTGTGAGATCTGTGCTTATACGGGCTACTGGCTCTTCCAGGCACTTAACAGCACCGGTGAAGCCAGGGGTGGGTGAGCTTGCCAAGGGGAAGAGTTTCATCTGAGTTTCAGTCTGGCTTGCAGTGGTGAATTTAGTATTACACACAGTCCTCCTATAAAAGAGGCTGAATCTGCTTTCTGGTATTTAACCATGAGGCCATGCAGTCAGCTGCATTAGCAGCTGGAGGTGTAGGTCTAAGAACTGGATGAGATAGAATGGGCTCTTCGGAGTAAACAAAACCTTTATCACTTGTCATAATCTTTTATATTATTTTGAGGTGAATATTCTTGAGTATATTCTAGTAAACTTCAAATATATGCATCATTTACTAGAACGTTTTGCATTTCAATTTTATGGTTACAGCATACCGAATTAAATTTTGCCAAGATGATGAAAATGGTTATGTTTATAGGTGGTTGAGCTGAAGCCCGGTGGAAAAGACATTCCTGTTACCAGCGCCAACCGAATCGCGTACATCCATCTGGTGGCAGACTACAGGTTAAACAAGCAAATCCGACAGCATTGCCTTGCTTTCCGTCAGGGACTGGCCAATGTTGTGAATCTTGAATGGCTTCGAATGTTTGATCAACAGGAAATACAGGTAATTCTGCTTAAAACTGCAGCAAGCGATTGCTTTAAACAGAAATAAATGCTAATTCTTGCCTGTAATGTAATTGCCTAACTTCCTTCATTATTAGGTTCTGATTTCTGGTGCCCAGGTTCCCATTAGTTTGGATGACCTTAAATCTTTCACAAACTATTCAGGTGAGTATATTTTATTTAAATAAAAAGATGTATTATGACTGACTCAGGAATAAATAAACTTGCTTTTTATCCTAGCTTTTAAATAAAAGCTGTAGGGTCATTCGTAACTTTGACCAAACTTTGTAGATAGGCCTGAATTTCAAAAGATTGGGTAAAATTACAACCTGGTTTTATAAATGCTGGGAGATACAGGTATGCAGCTTATTTTGTTTGTACATTTAAATACAAGTTTATAGCCAGATAATTAGAAGACATGTAATTCCTTTTCTAAATGGATGTTAGTCAATGTTGTATCTGGTTGCCCTGAAAATAAGTCTGCAAGTTACTTTGGGACGGTTGTTTCTACCGCCACATTCAGATACTTACCATTTCTCAGACAGCCTGAAGAGAGAGCTCATACTTTTTTTCCTTGTGAGAAATGCAAGGGTTCTTACTTAATTTGACCCTGCATTTATCATGAATGTAATCAAAAAGTAGCTACTATATCATCACTGCACATCCGAGCTTACCTCAAAGTAAGTTGATTCATTAAATAACATCCTGAGTCTTGCAGGTTTTGCAGGCTCTTGGAGTAGAAGGCAGTAATCCAATGTCACCAGGTAAATGCTAAACTAAATAAGGTCATTTAAAATAAACAAGTAGGATTCAGTGACAAAAACTGCAGTTAAGAAGCTGAGGGAAATAGTAGCCATAGGTAAGTAATGAATGAGAAACTGAAAATGCAGTGATCAAACAGATGTATAGAGACTGGTATTGGCAGTGTAAGCCTGCTCATTTTAATATTTTCCCCAGGCTTTTCAGGATTGATGCCTGTTTTCTAAATAATTCATTTCTTACATAAAACTATTGTACTCATAAATAATTTAAATTTCATTATAGGTGGCTACACAGCAGACCATCCTGTAATTAAAATATTCTGGAGAGTTGTAGAAAGCTTCACTGATGAAGAGAAACGCAAATTACTGAAGTTTGTAACAAGCTGCTCTCGACCACCTCTTCTGGGGTTTAAGGTACATGTCAAGTTTCTGTAGATACCACAGATTATGATACGAGCTTCTCTTGTCTGTGGACATTTACAATTTGAGAAGAATGTTCATCTGTGACTACAGAAACAGCTTCAATGTTTGCACTTGCACGTACAATGAGTGTAGTTTTAAAATATTTCATAAAATATTGTTCTGTTGTTTTCTATTTTAACTGCAAAATTTGATGAGCCTAAAACCACATTGGTTAGAGCGCTTACTCCTTGTCATGGAAGATCCTTGCTGCCATTTCACATTGCTGAAGCACTCCTACCAGTTTCAAGGAACAGGTTGAGTTAAGAATAATGTCTTTTAAATCAGGCAAAAGAAGATTCAGGGTATAAAAGCAGCTATTAAATTTAAACCTCTTAAATTAACCATTTGAAGTGGGAGATGTGTTGTTTCCTTCTAATTACCATTTATCTGCTTACAGGGTCACAGCTCGTTAACTTTTGAATCTAATTATTTTGCTGCTATCTTTAGATTGCTACTTACAGTAAAGCTTAAGTATGAAGGAAACTTCCATGTACTGCTTATAAAAATAAAGAGAGGACAAGGCAAGTTGAAGACATTTTGAAATTAAGTTCTGGGCATGTTCTGCCCGTGAGTTTCAGTTCGGCTGCAAAATTCTGGCAAAGAACCAACCATGGGCCTCATTTCCCCTAAAATGTAGGAATATTCAGTGCTTTTCTGTAAGAAAATAAAAGAATTAAATTGCTTCATAGCAACACCATCACCTTCAGTACAGTGGTTAGCAGCATGTTTACTACTGTAAACAGGATGTACTCTTCAGTAAAATTAATGCAAAGGTGGTTTTTTGTGGAACATAAATACAGGCATTGTGTCATCCGGTTGCTTACAAGTAAGAATAAGATTTGTTGCTAAACAAAATTTGAATTACCTGTACTTAGTAAATTTTCCCATTAGATGCTACTGTGATACAATATTTAATTAGCAGTGGATAATTACTAATTTCGTACATTTATTAGGTAAAATGGGTAGATGAACCCATAAGAAATGAATGCAGATATTGTGTAAGTCCTGAAGGTTTATTAGCCGTTTTGTAAAACAAGTGGTGTTGAATGAACCTTTTGGCATTGGAGAAGTACTTCAGGGACAGATACTAACATTTTATATAGGAACAAGGAATTCAGGTATACTTGACAGTCTGGAGATGGAAACAACATACTTGAAATTTTGCACAATTTCTTCTTTAATCATACTGTGAAAGTTCCTTCTGGTGGAGTCTTGTTTTGTTGCTGTTGGTTTTTTGTTTTGTTTTGTTTGTATTTGGGAGCTGGGGTTTTTTTTAGGTTTTGTTTTTTTTTTTTTTTTTTAATTGGCATTTAAAAGAATACTTGGAAGGCAAATACTAGAAAAACAACTTCTTGGCTCTAGGAATTGAGCCGTTTCCTGTGATGTGTCCTGGGGGTGACACGTGGTAAAGATGTCAGAAGTAAAAAATGAAACAGAAACCCCACCTTCCTCTTCCACGCACAACTTAGATGTTTGTAGTACTTAGCACTGTTTTTCTTCTTCAAACTTTTGATGATTTACTTTTCTCAAAAAAACAGTTTTCCTCTGGAAAACAGGCAAGACGACACTCTGATACTGCAGTCGCAGCGCTCTCCGTTGCAGACCTTTGCCATTTGACTGATTTAAAATACATAAAAGCATATGTGGGCTGTCATACAGTAGGATGTAGATCAGTTGCTACAGGTGAGGAAAGAATACTCCTGGTGGCTTAACCAGTGGTGCTGTTGGCGAGTGGATAGGCACAGTATATTCTGTATCTCAGCTATGCTCTTTTATAGACACCTAGGAGAGGAATCAGGACTTTCAGTTGGTAATTTGTCAGTTTGTTCCATGTGTCTGCTTCAAGATGAAATGAATCGTGTCTTAGATTCCACAAAACATACTCGCTACATCCCCTTGAACAGTAGAGAGAGCCTGGGGTGACTACATGTGGGTGTTGAGACAGCAGCAATGGCTGTTAAATCACGTGAATCCTATCCAGGGCACTCGTTGATTGATTTCTGTGATGGGTTATTTAAACGCCTGCAAACATTGCTCTTAAACTCTCCAAGTCTGGGTGAATATCACCGTACAGTGACAAACAGGGTTTTATGGGACAGTGGGAAGAACAATTAGAAACCTGTGGGATGAGACCAAGAGAGAAGAATGCAGATCAGTCGTGTCACGAGGGGAGAACAGGGAAGCAATTGTGTGGAAACAAAGTAGAGAGAAGTCTCCGTTTGTTGTCATGCTTTTTAATTACAAGGGGAGAGCAGGAAATGCAGATGTAGTTACCCAGCTCGGAGGTAGCCAGCCTGACATTTGAAGAGATGGAGGAAGTGAATCAAAAGTCTAAAAATACTAATGCTGACAGTGACACGTTGGCAACAGGATGTAGTGAAACCATATGTGGAAAGTTGAAGTTTGTGTGTGTACTTGGGAGATAGACCAGAACCAGACTTTAACACACTTGGCTAGGAAAAAGTGGAAGTAAAATAGTCATCAAATTTTCAGCATGATAGCAGTAAGTTAAAAGATTAATTTACTGTGCAATGGACTTGCAAGCTCAGCCACGTGCAACAGTCTTGGCACCAGAAAGCAGAGTGAAAAGGCCTTACTGCTGCTCTGCTGGGCAGCACCGAGCGGGAGTTAGGTCAGTACTTGCCTGGTGCTTCCAGCAGTAGCTTGTTAACATGGATTTACCAACAAAGCAGGGGTTTGCCAGGAAATGTTTGCCAGAAAAGGAAGTGGGTAACTGGCATTGTCATCAGCAATAACATCTGGGTGGCCTGTGACAGTGTGCTGTTTAGAACTTTGAAAGTGAAGAGCGCAGGGTCTTCGCTCTGAATATTCCCAGCCAAATAACTGTCTGGATATAGCAGTATTGATGGTAGATGTTAACACAAGCCATCCTCAAAATTTGTTTAAAGTTTTAATATGGGTGCTACGTTTTTCTGAGAGGAACACAACTTCAGGTTCTCACTCTGAAATCTTCTGCATGCTTTGTATTGTGGAACCTTCACTTTTTCTTAAAGTTAGTGCACCTTAAGATAAGGAAATGTCCTGGCATTCAGAGCTTATAGATGGCACAGACTGGCTTTGCATCACTGAAAAATTTTAAACTCTCACTGTCAGATTCAGACTTAAAATAACATTTCCGAAAGCTAATTAAAGTTTAATAAGTTTAATAAATGTGATTGTTACAGACAGAAAAAAAATCATTAAAGCATGGTTGAAAATTGTTAAGTTCCAATCAGGTCACATAATAAATTGATGATACTTTTCACTTCCAAACTATTGCAGTTTCCCGCTGTGCAGTATTTAATTATGCAACAAATGGTGCCCTTGGCATGACATTTCAATTTAGAACTTCATTTTTCCATTTTTAAAGCTAAAGTAGGGGAATTCAATTAGCATTTTGAAAGGAACACTAAAAATGCAGCATTTTAGCCATGAAATACTTTTTAAGGCCTCCATTTGAACAATAATTTAGCTTAGAATCTAATTGACCTGCCTTTGGAGCTGGGATTTTTTTTCTCAGTTTCTAAAATCACAGCTCTTTTACCTCAGGTGAGCATTTGATAAAATTAATACTTTCCTGCCAGCAAAAGCAGTGCTTTAGAGGTAACAAATAAATATCTTTTTCACTATACTCTTTCTCAGAAGAGAAAAAAACCCACCACATTTTACTAAAACAATTAAATATTACATACACAATGTGTTAAAAATCTATTCCTCAGATCAGTAGTTATCACATCAGAAGAATAATCAGGGTTTGACAAGTTTGTATAATTACTGAGTCACTATGCACATTTATATCATCCCAGTAACAGCTGAGGGACTTTATAATCATTCTGTGAAGAAACACCAAATCTAATTGCTTTAAATAAAGTTAGATCTTTATTTGCTTTATTTGGAGAATATAAAGTACCTTTTGATTCAGAGTTCTAGACCATGGCAGTGTAAATACTTGCTTAATCTTACACATGAACAAATCCACTGAAGTCATTAGTACTGTTTGTCTTGAAAATCATAGGTTGTAGGCTTGCTTTAGGGCAAGAAATGCCTTTAGTGTTCTCTCAGACAATTGATTTTAACAGAGAAATAAATGATCATTGTATGTTGTGGTGAGTAGAAGGAAAATGATGGCTTGATACTTATCCACTTGAATTATTTCTTTTATATGTTGGGGTATTCTAACAAACTAAAGCTCTGGAAGGAAAGTGCTGAAAGGGTCTGCTTGATCATGGTTTGTTTATTTGTTTGGGTTTTTTTTGTGGTGGTTGTTGGCTGTCACAAAGAAATGGATGTGGTACTTACTATAATTTGTATTTAGATCTGGTCACTTACTCATCATCTTTCTCCACGGAGCATCACTTTAACATGACAGAGAATTTGTATGTAAAATTGGCACAGCACATCACTTCATTAGCTAGAGCAAAATTGTCTCTGTTGGGATTTTTTTGTGTATGCAGAAACAATGTCTTCCCTGCCCGGAAAGAAAAAACCAGAAAGTGTAATGCTCTGAAGAAGCCATGTTGTTATGTAGTGACAAATATTATTTGTCATTCAAATGTGACAGAACATCCTTTTCCATCTACCCCTGTTACTGCTAGTGCTCTGTAGTGCCCTGTGGTCAGGTGTCTCACTGTCAGAAACCACAGTGTAGGAGGAACCCGGCCTTTTCCTGGTCCTACGGAACAAACAGCTCCCATGGGCATCTGGAAGGGTTTGTGAGGGGAGTCTGAAGTTGTGAGTCCCAGTTATTTCTCCCAAATACAACAGAAATTTCTTGCATGCTGCTGTACTACTATTTCCATTTTGTGTTTCACTGTTTCTGTAGCATCATAAGTTTGCAGAATAGAGTACATGAACAAACAAATCATTATTTTTTTCCTTAGAACTGGAAAAATTACTTTGTTTTGCAAATTATTTGGTGGTGACAGCGTGGAGGGAAGCACTGTACAATTCAAGAGTGCTTTGCGGGCCACCAGGAATGAAAGAAAATGAATATGCTACTGTGGTGGATTTTAACCTAATAATTTATTTCTAGAAATCTGTGCCAGCTGTTACAGGGTAGGTTTTGGCTTGTATGTATTTTTTGATACATGTTTTCCTGTTGCATTTTTCAGGAGCTGTATCCTGCATTTTGCATTCACAATGGAGGATCTGATTTAGACAGGCTGCCTACTGCCAGTACCTGCATGAACTTGCTGAAGCTTCCCGAGTTTTATGATGAAAATCTTATGCGAAGCAAACTTCTTTATGCCATTGAATGTGCTGCTGGATTTGAACTGAGCTGAGTCGAACTGATGCTCGTTTGGATGATCTGCAGAGGAACTAACCAGTGCCTACTCTACAAGCAGCACCCAAACCCAAGCAGTTTTAAGGGAATTCTGTCTAGATTTCTGCAGCTCTTGTGTCTTATCAAATGTCCTCAAATAGGTTTCATTTTTAAACACGATTTCTTAGTTAGCTTTCATTAATTAATATTACATTGACACTGCTTTATGATTCAAAAAAATGAATGCCGTGTGCAGTGTGGTTGTTTTCTGTGTTTATGTGAAGAAAGAGGACATTTAAAGAACAGTGACATCTCAGTGAAATGAACCAAAGATGAAGCTTTGGCTTTGTGCTGTTCAAACATAAATAATTTCACAAACTGGCAATAAAGTTGTGTACCGTGCAGCACATTGGGACAAGACAGGGCTAACATCCTGTAATTAATCTTTTAGATGGAAGCGAAGCAGATGTTTGCAGATATCCCAGAACTGAGAGGATGAAAATGCTCATTACCGATAACCTGACATCTTTACTTACGTTGTAGAATTGTTTACAAATCATAGTTTTGCAGAACTGATTTTGTTTTATATACTACCTTCCCTCAAGATGGTAGGCACTGAGATAAAACATTTATAATATTCCATTTGTGCTTTCTGAAATACCTTGGAGAAATCGGATTTGCATTATTTTAAGTTCAATCTTTGGCTGCGTCATTACCACTTGAACACTGTCGTAAATGGATGTGACTATCCATATTTCCTCTCTTCTGTTTCTCTCTTTTGTGCCTGTACAGAGTTTTTTTTTTTGTTGTTTTTTTTCAATGTATCAGACTCCTATTGCATAAACAGTACATACAAAAGTCATCACTTTGGAAAAATATACATGTAACAACTATTAAAATTATTTGAACCAAAGTTATCAGGCTTTATCTTTTATATTTGAAGCCTGTGGTGTTCACATTCCCTTCCCCTGTCATTTCTTTTCATCTTAAATGCCATATCTGTGCCGTAGACACTAGTCCCATCTTTTTTTTTGTGATTAAACAGCTTCTATATCCATCTGCCTGCGGTATTTCTGCTAAGAAAAAGTAGGTGGGGATATGCTGCTTAATATAATTCGATATATGAGAAAAACAATTGCTTTCATTTGGAAGGAACTGATCCTCTAGTAGTAGGCACATTGTTGGGTATTCGTATGCAAACTGCAGTCAGTTTTAAAAAGGAACTATAGTTCAAACTGTTCAGATTCATAAGTGCATCCCTCTGAACCTTAGTTTTATATTTTAAATCATCAAAAGTTACAATCAAATTTGTATTCATCTCTTATGCAAAAAAATATTTTGCTGTTACTGGAAACTCTGTTGGATTTAATATTTAATAAGCAGTAACCAGCAATATCCTTTTAAAGGTGGGGAAACCGAGTGATTTTGAGATGTTTACTAGTAACCGTATAAAAATGTATAATTTCTTAATTTGAGTAATAAATGAAGTGTTAAAATGCTATTTGTAGTCGTGATGTACAGAAATAAAACGATTGGTTTTCTTTTTGGTTTTGCTTTAGGCTTTTTATTTATGTTAAATATTACATACCCAACCTATTCTTTATCCCCAAATTCTTTTCTTGTATATTTTTCTACATAAATTATGGAACTTGTAAAGAAGTTGAAAAAGAGATCAGTAATAGTGGAATTGCCTCCTCTAATTGCAAAACCTGAACACTTCTTTTAGATAGCATTATTTATTTTAGAACCTAATGCTTTAAATATTTTGAAATTATTTTTCGATCCCGTTATTTTGCTACACTGTGGGTAGTGTTGTATCTGTATTTTGTAAAATTAAATTTCCTATTGAATATTTGTATTTTGAAGATCGTGTTGGGAGTCATGCCCAGTAGCCGTGGCTGGTAAAGCAGGCTTTCTGCTTGGGGAAAAGGAGACGGTGAACACTGTTCCTGCCCGTCGCCGGCATCCGAGTTGCAGATACAGGTGTAGTCATGTAAGAAAACTTCAGAAGAGAATTTGAGTTTGCTGAAAATACTCTTGACTCTTTATTTCTTCGGTATATAGAACTCGGTGATCTTGTTTTGTATATTCTGTACATTAAGTATGAAATTTTGCCCTACTGGATTGTGGGGTTGCAGCTGAGATTTCACTCTGCAGGCAGCGAGGTGCAAATCCCTGCTGCGGCAGCTTACACCACCTGCAGTAGCCAGACTGCAATAAGAAGAGGGTAGGGCTTTCCTTCGGCAACGGGTGCTTTGAATTCTGACCCTCAGCTGTTTTTCTGTAGTCAGGATGAAGCACAAATCCCTGCTTTTCAATGATCTATTGCTGGATATTTTAAGGAACAGGCGATAAAGGTATGACAAACAATATAGGTATAGTTAATCATGTCCTGAGGAGCTAAGTGGTCTAAACGACCTCTTTTAGCTCTTATGTAGCAAGAATTGTTTATATATGAAAATGGATTTTCTGTTTTTTAAAAGCAGGGTGAACTCTCTCCCAGTTGTGATGCTCCCGGAGTTTAGGTAGGCAGAGGCAGGCAGCACTCTGCAGTGCAAGGAACCCAAAATGTTACTCTAGATTTTGATCCATCAAAATTACGGCTGTAATAATTAGGGTTTGGAGTTGTTTTCTGTGCAGGACAACCCTTCCTTAAAGTCAGTTTCTGTGCTTCAGTGTTTTGTCCTCCTAGGTCAGTACTTGCTTTTTGAAAAGTGACAGCATTTTCTGTTTGGTTTTTGTTTTCGAATAATTTTGTTTTATAATTCTGTAAATGGTTTTAAAAACATTTTTGTTAAGGTTTATCTTTATGATGGAAGAGATCACAAAATCTTCATCTCTCCAAAGTTAAAAGGCATAAAAAGCGGAATAAAAAAACCCCCCAAATTAGCAGTTGGTCTGTTTATCTCAGTGAGAATTTTTCCAGATGTGGGTTTAGTCCTACATGAGCTGGATTAAAAGAAACCACAAACCAAACCAGAAATGACTGGCCTCGTTCCTCAGTCTCAGTTGTCTTCCATCATGGCCCTGAAAGCCAGACTTGTATAAATTTCACAAAACTCACTCGTGATTTTTAGGGAGAATTTATGTCTACAAAAGAGGAAAGATTTGGCTCTAAGTTCCACGTGTAAACACTGAGCCAATAGAAGTTTGCTTTGAACAACAAGGAGATCTTCAGTTATTTTTGACTGGGGTGCTCCATAATTTAAAAAAAATGAGCTTCCTGATGCTACTAGTAGCAATGTGGACTGTTTTTTTGGCATCACTTGAGTAATCTAGCACAAGATCCTAATTTGATCTATAAAGGGGTTTGGAATTCACAGAAAAGACTCCACGGAGTGCAGTGAGCTCATGCTAAATTTCAGTTTAACCCAAAAGCTATTTGTTAAATGCCAGTGAGACAGCACATACTCTTTTTCACCACTGAAAAACAGTACAGCACAGAAGCAAAAAGGAAAAAACAAGAGAGCTGTTTTTCTTGGAATGTTTTGTTGGAGCTGTAATTTTATTTGTATTTATAATTATATGCAAAAACTTTAAAACATTTGCTCATATACATGGATCTGTGTTAATAATGGTTTGTGATGTAAATGCTTGTTACTATTTTTTTTCATGATGCTTTGCCTGTCAGTGAAGGCGAGAAGAAATGGTCTGTAAAACTGATCAGGATATCTATATTTTTATTGACTTCTGCTTTTGTGAATAAAATAATTTGAGTTTTCTTGAAACTTTGCAGAAACACTCTTTTCTTTCATTTTTTTTGCAGTAAATTTGGTGTTCTCTTGCTAAAGATTGATGGTGCTGAATAGGTTCTAAAAGGGAAGCCGATATTAACTCTTTGTTGGTGTTGAAGTTGCCACTGCTTTGGGATGATTTGTAACTTCAGTTTCCGAGCTCTGAAGCTCCTGCTGTGTCAGTCAAACAGCAACAGAAAGGTTTGGCTTGTTTCGGTGTCTTTGAAGCAGCGTGGCTGGGATCACTGCTGTGAGATGCACTGATGTGCTTCTGCAGAACCTTTGGAAAGAACGAAACTCCCTCCTTGGATAAAAAGATGAGAAGCTCTAATTCATAGTGAAGAATGCCACTCAGCAAACACATAAAAACATCTCTTTCAGCTTCTGGAATTTTATCACTTGTGGGCCCTCTGAAGCTGTAACTTATTTTCTATCTCCTTTGATAAATACAATTATCTGCTTCCCTTTGCTTTTCTGTTATTTTCTTTGCTAAATACACTTTTAGTTCCACGATAGTGTTTATAACATTAGTATTGTGCGTGTTTATTTTGGAATACTTACAAATATATATGCTTCAGCTTGTCTGCCAGTAAAAATGTATGTGGTAAACAGAAAATTAAAGAAAACTCTTGTAGGAGGCTAATTCCTAGCATGAATAGAACACAAGCGCCCAGATATCTGCCCTGGTTTCAGTATGTATCAGGTAGTCTGGAAAGCTCATAAAATTTCTGATGTGTGCAGAAAGACAGCACAAGGCAAAAGGTGATGATGAAGTTACACCATTTTAATCTATTTCAAAGAACATGGAATGGGTGAGGTCAGCAGGAGTGTCTGGAGATTACCTAGTCCTCAAGATTACCTAGTCTACCTATAGCAGGCTGCCTTGCCCAGAGGAGTTCTGAATATCTCAGTGAATGGAGACTCCACAACCTCTCAGGGCAACCTATTCCAGTTTTCAATCACCTTTACCAAAAAACACCATTAATCAGGTTTAAACACAATTTCTCATATTGCAGTTTGTGCTTATTGCCTCTTGTTCTGTCACTGGGCAGTACGAAGAGGAACCTGAGCCTTCTCCAGGCTGAACAATGCCAGACCTCTCAGCCTCTCCTCACCTGATCAGTGCTCCAAAACCTTAATGGTATTTGTGGCCCTGCACTGGACTTTCCAGCATGTCCATCTCTCATACTGGTGAGCCCAGAACTGGACCCAGCACTCCAGATGTGCCTCACCAGTGCTGTGCAGAGAAGAATCACCTCCCTCAGCCTGCTGGCAGTGCTTTTCCTCATAGAGCCCAGGGGGCTGTTGGCCACCTTTGCTGCAAGGGCACCTTTTTGGCTCATCCTCAACTTGCCTCCCAGGAACCCCAGGTCATTTTCTGCTGAGCTTGGACTAATGCTGAATATTAAATCATCTCAATGCTTATTCACTTCTTCTGAAGGCGCAATTTGTTGGACTAACTCCTGTGATTCAGCTGTCTTCTACCATAGCTGGGTAGTCTGGTGCTTGGTGCAATCCAGCAAAGCATGTCAGACAGGAGAAATGTGGGAATTCTGACTGGTGCAACGGGACTGCTTGTGCATAAAGGCACACACAGATTGCTACAGGCTTGTTCTCAAGCCGTTAAGGGATGAACATCTCTTGTGTGAGGGTTAAATCATTGCTATGTTTTATTGCCGGAATAGCTGCCCCATCCCTGGAGGTGTTCAAGGCCAGGCTGGATGGGGCTTTGAGCAACCTCATCTAGTGGGAGGTGTCCCTGCCCATGGCAGGGGGGTGGAACTCGTTCATCTTTAAGGTCCCTTCCAACCTGAACCATTCTATGATTCTGTGTTTCTGTGCTCTCCAGCCTGGGACTAAGTTTACCTGTCCACAGCTCTGCAGAAGACATAGACTCTCTTTGCAGGGTTAAAGTATTTATAGGAGCAGCTTGCTTAAATGTCCTACTATATTTAAGACCATTCTTTCCTGCGTTCTCAGAGCAGCTGTTAGTTCATTCTGTGTAACATTTGACTGAAAAGTAGTTTTGCATTATTTTATTCTCTGTTTATAGTTACACATAGCTCTTGATCGCTGAAGAAGGAAACAGGCATTCACCAGATGGTGTTATTTCAGATCATCTTGCTACTTCTGCTTACCCAAATGTTAGATCTCGGAAAAGCATCTCCCATCAGTTGCTGTGTAGTTTTGCTGCATGTTGTCAAACACACCTTCTGAAGAAATTAGTTCCTTCTAGCCTTTGTATCTTTAATTAAGAATAATTCTTTTCATTACAGCTCTGCTTACTGTTTTTCCCCTCTGTGCTTTCAGGCAAACAGCAGCAGAGCTCAAAGTTTTGCAGAGATATTTTAGGTCTAATTATCCATTAGATCTATCTGGCTATTGATGAAAAATGACATAGAATTAACTAATATTTGGCACTGGCATATGGATAAGAAAGCATATCCACAGTCGAGTTAATGAATATAAGTGCTGATCAAGCTGTCCTTGCAAAGAATAAGCACTTGCCGTAAGCTGTGAGATCTTCTGACAGCCCACAACAGTTGTTAGCTTGTTGCCTGCACACCCCAAATAAGCAGTAGAACAGACCTTATACTTCATGAGGAATGGGCAAAACCCCCAACTATCCTGAAATGTTTCAACCACTTTCAAAAACATCCACTCGGCTCAGGCTTTTGCTGACAAAGATGAGTCCAGGTAAATTTGCAGCCTCTTGGTTACCAGAGAAGCTTCATACCAAGGAAAAAGGAGGTTGTGCTCGGCAGAAAAACTCTGGAGAATGCTAATGAAAATTGGTTATTTTGTGCTTTTAATGCTTCTACTTAGAGTTTTAAACATTAGGTGTATTGCCCATATTTCAAGTCTAATTGTTTCTGATAAGCTATCAGCAAAAAGTTAATGCTTATATTTAATTAAGTGGCACTTTCCAGAATTACTTTGCCAGTAGTACTATAATTAAATGATGTGAGAACAGTCTTTGATACATATGCTCATATTCTTTGCTAATACCAAAAATAGAATCTGTAAATCTGTAAATAGAAAAACTGGATGCATTAAGCAGCAGTCCAGAGCAGCAGGCCAGGAAGGCTACAGCCATTACCGCATCAAAGGGACTAATATTAATATCTCTCTAATGCAGCATTTTCAAGCATTTCTTGTGTTCTGATGGGCTTTTCATAATTGACCTCCATAAGTCATAAAAAATGATTAAAAAAAAAAGGAATCTGGGAACTATGTGAATTGCTAATACCTCCTGGAATGCTGCCACGTTATTTCCATCATTAGGTTATAGCTACCCGTTAGGTCTGAATCCATCTCACTTAACTTCAACCATCTGTAAGGTGGCTGTCGAGGCACTTCCGATGAAAGAGGCGACCCAGAGACAGAGCTCCAGAGACCGGTTCTTGCTTTTCTAAAATACATCTCCAAAGTGGGTGGAATAAATCATCCCCCTGGAGGTGCCCCCTCCTTCTCTCGCTCTTCATAGTCGGAGGCCTTAAACTAGATGTTTAACTTCCAGGCAGCTGAAGTTACCTGAAGTGAAACCAGACCTTTGCCTTGAGTTCCCAGGTGAGAGCTGACAGTTCTTGAACAATGAAGATCCTTCGATAACGGAGTTTGTTCTGACTTATGATTCAGCACTTGAAGCCCAGCCCAGGTCTGCCTGGATCTTTGACACCAGCTTTGACAGACCCAACAGCCTTTATCAGCTTCTGTTAGTGGAATGTTGATCCTCTGCCAGCAACATCAGATTTAATGCTATTTAACACAATATTCCAGGCTTCTGCTGCAAGCAGTGAGCCATAAAAACATGGAATGCTTTTACTTTATACTTTTGCAAATACCTTTAAAGAAGATTTTCTGAATCTAAAAGCTTTTCTGTTTTATTAGTCCTGTAAGTAGATCTAATTAAACATGTTCCCTCTTCCTATGAGTCCTGCCTCTGAAATCCTTCCCATGACATTACCTCTAAAGAGGAGAAAGGTGGTTTTGGCTCTTTACGTTATGCAGTTCCTCCTCTTTTTGTTTATCAGTGTTAACTTTTTACACAGAGACTGTAAGCTCCTTCTGTTGCATAGAAAACACCGACATGGGCAGTTGTCACTTAAGGACATTCAACCTATTGCAAGATATCTAAATATGATTAACGCTGAAATTTAAAAATAATTCTGAGAAATCCTAACTGAAATGAGCATGGCTGAATATACAGATCGAATCAAACTACGGGTCAGAAGAATTTTAATGAATTTTAATGAATTCTTGGGGAACCAGTCAGTCCTGTCCTGTGGTACCTGAACTATGCAACTTGAATGAAAGGGGGGTGAAACGGTGGTTCAGCAGAACATGTCTAGCGTTATGAACATTGTTTATCAGAGTCCTACTCTGAAAAGCAAAGTTACTGTAGCCATGATATCTATTTTGAGCTTTGGGTGATGTGGGAGAAACAGAGACCTTGCTTAGTTAGATGACATTAGCCTGAAAAACCTTAGAGGCTGAGCTGGCCCTTGCAGACCTGACGGGGTAAGAGGTGGGTGTCCTGCCAAACTGGGCTGAGGCAGTGGGTGCACTGGGCAGAGGGGCATGAGAGCAGCGTTTCCTTCACCGCTCACCAGCAAGCCACGTCCTGCTGATCAGAAAACAAACAGGAGGCAGGACAACAAGACCATGAACATATATATGTTTTCAAAACTGGTCTTGAATGTGTGTTTTTCTGTTTCTCTGTTAAATTCTACAAGAAGCTGAGCAAAAAGGATCAAAAGCTGTCACTGTGCTTGTTTTTGTCCTTTAGTCTTGTACTCCCAAAATGATTGCCAACATGGAACACACTTCCCCACATGAGAAAATGTGTAGGGTTGAACCTTTTCAAGATGACTTCCAGTGGAGTGCTCAGTCATCGACCAACAGAGGCAGCTTGAACCACCGGTGGGGAGTAGAGACTTCTTCTCTGGGAGGAGCTGAGCAGTCTGATGGATGCTGCATTAGAGGCAACCTCAGCCTGGAGCCTCTGGACTTACTTCTCTTGGCTCTAAGACCTTGAGATATAAATAGAACCCTGTCATTCCATACAGAATTATGCTTTTTTTTTTGCCACCGTTGTTCCATCTGTGTGGGTAAATAGAAGATTTTATGGTCAGCATCCACCATGGCCTAACTTTAATATAAATTCTTCTCTGTAAACAATTAAAACAAAGTAATTGCCTTGTGCTACTCTCAGTGTGTTTACTGCAGGTGAGATTTTTAAAAGACTGAAGACATTTCATACTTTCCTCTCACCTGTCATCGGTTATGAAAGGTTGAGGGAAAAAACTCTTCATGTCAATAAATGTTTAAAGCACTAAATAAAAACTTTATATGATCTCCCACACCATGCAGTACTGACCCACTGCTTGCCTTTGCACTTGCTAGGCTGGGAATCCTCTGAGGTTTGCAGCCGTACCTTTTAGAAGAGCCAGTCTAACCTACTAGTCTTTTTTTTTTTTTTTCCAAGTGGATCAACAACTTGGACTTCACAGCTACTTGCTGCTGAGAAACTAATAATAGTGCTAGGTGTCTCTTTGATCTAATTTTAAAGACTTGTTTCCATGACCACAATTAGGCATCAAATCTCATGGAACGATATTTCTTTTGAAGCTTGTATTTCCCCCAAAGCACCAAGCCTATTCTTTTCTGAGGGTTGTCCTACTACTTGCTGCGCTGATTTGTATTAGGTTTTCCTCTGTCTTGTTCCAAGCTTGCTTTCTTCCTTTTGAACTGATCCCACTCCCACATAAGCACCTCCAAATTAATGAGTAGCTTTTCCAATTTGTTTGGGGAGCGCACGTTTTAAGTGTGGAAACTCTCTAATTTCACCATGGTGATCTATAAATCAGTGCTTCCTCCAACTTCTTAAATAAAGGGCAAGAAATGCAATTTTACAGCAATTTAAATCATGGACGAAGTCCAATTTTTTAAAAATAGATTAATAACTTGGCCACTTATGCTTTGCTCCCAGCCGTGACACTCGGAAAACCACATACTCAAATATATCCCAAAGGATGCTTAAAATACACGGGCCCAGCAAAGGAACCTGTCCAGGTGCCAGCTGGAGAACCATGACTCTGGCCTGGGGAGCATTATGTGTGAGGGTCACCATTTTTGGGACTAAAACAAAGACACAGGAGGGTGGGGAAGAGAAATTTTGTCTTCTCACTTCTAGCAGCCAAACTCACCTATTCAAAGAGGGTGTTGCTTTTGTTTTTTTTTTAAAATTATGATGGTTTTTCTTCTCCTTTCCCCTCGGCACCACAACCGGGTCATCACTCCTTTCCCCCCCTCCCTCCCTCAGACACACACGGCGGGGGTTCTTCACCCAACTGCCTGCCCGTGGAGACTGTGAAACCCCTGGGGTGCAGCAAGACCGCTGCTGGGAGCGGGACGAGCGCCGGGGAAGGCCCCGCGGCCCGACCGGGACGGCGACCACCCCCGGTGTGCCCGGAGCCCCGCCGGGCCCGGAGCTCCCCCCGGGAGCCGCCGCAGCGCCGCCGGCCGCCGGCAGGGGGCGCGCTCCGCTTACGGGCGGGCCTGACGGCGGCGCGCTGTTCGAGAAACTTCCGGAAACAGCCGAGCGGAAGTGACGGCCAGGTGGCTGACGGAGCTTCCCGTTTGCGGCTGAGGTAGCCGCCGCCGTTGCCGTCGTGCCGGGCTGCTGGCGGGGAGCGTGGCGGCCGCGCTGTGGAGGCAGCAGAGTGGGTGAGTGTCCCGGGACGGGCTCGGCCTCCTCCTGTGAGGCGGGGGGGTGTGTTGGGGGAGCGGGAGCCGGTTTCTGGGCCAGGCCTCAGTTCGTAGCGACGGTGTCGGTGGTAACGGGGCCTGAGCCGGCGCCGCCGCCATGCTGCGTGCGGGGCCATCGGCGGTGGGGCCTCCCCCGCGGGGAGCACGGGGCTCTGCCGGCCTCGGGGGGTCTCCTTTCCTTCGGGGAAGCGTGTGGCCGGAGCGGGGTTTGCGTGGGGAGCGGGGCGGGCGGAGCAGGGATCTCCGGCGCTTGGGGGCGGGCGGGGAATGGAGCCGCCCCCGGGCGGCGCGGCTGCCTTGGGCTTGCCGCCTTTCCTGGGAGCGGAGGAGATACGGCTGGGTCCGGGCCGAACCGGCCTCCGTCGGATTTGTCCCCCCTTTACCGTATGCGGAGAGGACCTAGGGAAGAAAAACCCCGCGTTTTCATTTTCGCTTGTGGAGGTTTCGGTTTCGGAGAGGTGCGGGAGAGCCTCGGCTCACCCTCTCGTGTGTCTGGAACAGACCGTTTACTTAAAAGTCCTTTTCTTCGCAGCGTACTATTTTTTTTTGGCACGCTTATAAACTAAACGTGCTTAGATAGAAGCAGTTCAGTTAAATTCTGTCCTGTGTTTATTAACTCAGGGTAGGGCCACTAGTAAGGTTTGTTGTGGGTGCAGGCGGTGCTGATGAGGTGCTGAGAACTCACCGTTGCCAGATTCCAAGCTGAGTTGACGACTGTCGCTGGCAGGTAAGGAACATAGTTTGTCGTCAGTGATTGCTGGACTTTAGAGAGGGTGGCGAGTTAAGGAGTTATTTATGAGCAGTGTTCCTGTTTGTAGCAACTCTTTATGCAGTGTTACAGTTTTACTGTTCGAGCTCTCCTTGGTTGCTGAAAACCTGTGCTTCAGGCTTGAGCTATTGTAATGAAGGCGTTAGGAAAAGTTATTCAAAATACTGAACAAATTTGTTTTGAATTGTGATAATAATAAACTGCTTGTTTGGTCCTTGTTTGGGCACAGTAGCTAAATTTATAGCAATGCTAATGTGCAAATGGTCAAGCTTGTGACATGGCTTGTTCACTGATTGACTAAGCACTGAGTTTTTAGGATGTAAAGTGTCAAAAAGTGGTAAGAACAAGGTGTTGACACAGAGGGAACAGCTGGAATGAAACTAGGCTTTGCCTCTGTGGTCCTCTGAGGTTGCAGTTCCTGCTGCCTGCTGACCTTAATTTTTGTTTACTCTTTGGAGATCCTTGTACTCCAGTTAGGAGGGATTTTATGTTCAGCTGATGATCAAGAGCCTGGTGGTTAAAGTACCATTTAGTTTGCTGGATTATGTTGTCAAAGAAGATTTGTTTGGACCAGTGAGTAAATGTATTTACAGATCTTGTATCTGATTACTTTTTTGTGCTTTTTACTTTAAGCAACCAAAATGCTATCGAGTGCTCAATTCTAGTCTAACTTTGTTTCCCTCTCTTGGCTCTCATGCTGCCTTTTCAGTGGAGAACAAGAAACTGTTTGAAATGGAAGTTAATTTGGGATTAAATTTTTTTAAATAATCTCAGACACTAGAGAAGAAATTTAAATTGGCACTTCTGATGGCAGTACTATATAAACTGTGTTGTTAATAATAATTTCTCTATCTGTAAACTGTAAATTTCCCCTTGTTCTTGATCAGATTTGTCTTTTTAGCACTCGTGCTTTCTGACTGTAGCACGTTCTTACCAAAACAGCTTTTGTCTCTAGTGTTTTCTTCTGTCTTTCATAGATTGATGCAGTTTGCTAATTTATCTTGGCTGGACTTTGAGTGAAAGAATGCGAGGCTTCACTCTTGTGTAACACAGCATTTTTAGTTGGAGGGATAGTATGTTTTGTTGTGTATGTATTAAAAAACTAAATAAATTAGTTGCTACCTACCATATTCTTTCTTGTACTAGAAATTTTGGAATGTACATGGAGAGGGGAAACAACTTACGTTAAATCATCTCAGTACGAGTTCTTAATAGTACTTTAGCTGTTCTGAGGAAAGAAATACCTGTGTGGGTTTTTTAACTGTAGAACTCCCAGGATTCCTATGTATATACTGTGCTTAACGCATGGGCGCAGTGAGGTCTCTGAGTCGAGGTCGTGTGGGATGAGGGTGACGACTTTTATTGTGAGTCCAGAGGCATTGAAGTTCTAGGCTGGAATTGACAGAAATGTCACAGCAGGTTGAGCAGACTGAGTGCAGCCGCCCGTGTTAGTTGTGTTTGGCTCTTGTGCTGCTGGTTGTACAAGATAGTGCATCTCGATCATGTCAGGACACTGGGCTTCCAGACTTGAGTGGCCTGTTTCTTACCATATAAATAGTGATATTTTGAAGGGAATGTATTGCCTTAGTTTTTAACTTAGTTGTGTGAGGTTTAATATTCTGGTATTTTGCTCCTTAAGTAGGAAGTGCTCCATTTCTCTAATAGCATTTATAAAGAACCTTACCAGCTGTGTCCTGAAAATGTTTTCTGTCAACAGCTTTTCCTTTGTCTCGATTTATTTCAGGAATGGAAGGATTATGAGAAATTAGCTTTGTCAAAACTTGTTGTATCTTATATATGAAGATTGTTTATTTCAAGATAGATTTAGATTAAAACTGTAGTTGATGATATTAAGGAAATTACATTTTCTTTGCTTTAGAAGGAAATACTACGTTTGAATGGATGTTAGATTTTTCTTAAGCTTAAACTTAAGGAAATGTTATTTTGCTTCTATTTATTTAGCTGCTAGGGAAGAAATAATTTATGCTTAAGAATTTCACTCCTACAGTTACTAGTTGTAGGTTTCATCTATGTTTTCTGTTTGTTCTGAATAAATACTGAAATCCCACTGATATTAGTGAGGACCCAGCACTTAACAAGGGTCTTATAGCTGATATAATAAGTCTTAAGCCATTCATAGCTACATGGCAGCCAGTTTTTGTTAAAACTGAATTCTTTTGATTAGAAGAAATTCTTTTCTGTCTTAAAATGTCATCTGAATCTATGACAGGCTGTCATCATTGTTCTGAAAAAGAAATTGGCATTTGCTTTAATGGGATTTTTTTTTTTTTGCTGGTTGGCTTAAGTAAAATTACCATGACTTCAAAACTACTTCAGGGGAAATGTGTAGGAACTTTAAACTAATTTCTTTTCCCTGAAGGATCATCTGGTTGCATGTGGTTATTTGGCTGAAACTTTCTGGACCTGATCTTTCCCAGCTGAGGCTTTCACTGTTTCTAATCAAACACAGATCATACATTTTAAAAAATGAGTAAGGAATTATTTTCTACTTTATAAAATAGCCTTTTATGGTTAGCTTTAGGAGGGTACCAGTGTTCCAGATATTTGTATGACACAATTCCAAATTTGGACACCTGAGTTGTTGTGTTTTGGAAAAATACCCCTTTGCTTTAAGGAGAGATGGTGAATAAGTATCCCTTGATTTAAGACATGCTCATAGATCCGGCAGATAAGCAGCAGAGTATCAGCCAAGGGTGTGAGGGCAGCCTAGTCACTGACCTACTTCCTTTTCCAGTTTTTGTTAGCTAGTTTATGAATCTTTCACAGGTGAAAATTTTCTATTTCTTCTGTTTCCATTTTTGGTAGTTTAATTGTCTTTTAATGGTTTCTTACTGGTTGCCCTCCTTGGGCTTTCCGTGTATCAGACAGTAATATAGATAAGAAAGTCCTGTAGTTCTTGCCAGAGTTGTGTCTTTGTCTCCTTGGGAAAGACAGGAATGGACAGAGTTCTTTGCAACTTATTGCCTTGAGGGAGTGAGTGACCCCTCTACAGGTGGATACTTTCTGGTTGTGGGGTTGTTTTTTTTTGGTAGAACTCAAACTGCAAGGTAAAGCAGGCAGTCAGCCTGGCTACCTTTTCCCCCGCATGAACTGCATCCTCTCATATAAAAATCACTCTATTCAAATCCAGCCTGTTTTCTAACATAAAAACAGGATGTTTGGTGTAAACAGGAGATTAAGCTAATCTTTTTGGAATGTTCGTTTTATTAGATTCATCTCATGGGGATGCTGTGGTAATATTAATGTAATGAGGGTAAACATTGCTATTTAAGTACATTTATTAACTTTAATTATATAGTAATTTTACATTTTTCCATGAAACAATTCATTTCTGGAACCCGTGAAGTTAAACTTTGACAGCTTTTCGAAGGTAAAGTAAAAAGTTAAAAATACTGAGATTTTTAGTATACCTTAGTCTGTACCACAGTGTGCATGTATCAGAGGGAAGAACAATTTGATGTTGGTTCTTTATTTAAATGTATTTGTCAGACTAATTGATCACAAACTTTATACAGGATTTCTTGCTCTGTGCTATTGCACTTATCAGAATTAAGGTAACTTTCTTTCTGTTCTTTAGCATTCTTGAACTTACAAAGATTCTCTTATATAAGTCTTACAAAGATTCTCCTGGTTTATAGTGTGGATGTTTTTATGCTGGCACGTGTACACTGCTTGCCCAGTGGACCTTTGCTGGTGCAGCCAAGAGCCTGCTCGTGGTCTCAGCTCAGTTACATACAGCACATCCCAGATATTGTTGTTAGAACTGACAAAGGTCTCTTCATTTTATTTGGGATTTGGCCAAGGTTTGGGGACTTGTATAGCTTTCTGTATTGCTGAGTTGCAGTAGGTAAAATGCAGTTGATGGTTGCCTGAGTGGTGCTGTGCTCTGAGGAGCTGTGGTGTGAGATTTGCCATTTTTTTTTCGTTAGGGCGTAGGATGGCACCAGAAGGCAGGTTCTATAACCAGGGGCTGTGCGTTAAAGGCAGTGGCCTCTTCAAGCCAGTGAGAACTCCTTGAGCCACTGGTACAGATGTATCTTGGAAGCTTTGGCAAATAGTCCTTTATGGTTGATCTTTATTTACCCTTCTTTGAGTCAGGTAACTTGGAGAGATATCAACAAGTAGTTAAAGTTCATGGATTACATTTGAAATGCATAGCTTGTGAGCAAATGAAGGAGCTGAACTTCTTCTGAAGTTTGTTACTTTAAGGCTAAAAATATTTGTGGATGTCTCTGAATTTATGGTACCTTAAATAATAAAAATCTTAGCAAAGGTGTCTTAGCTATATAAAAATCAAATGAAGAAATACTAGATAACTTCAAAAGTGTGTGTGTTGCTTGGCATTCTTTGTATGGCCCTGGATCCACAACAGTATTAATGCTACTGCAGTTCATGCTTTGAAGTTGTGTAAAATTGTATCAGGTGCAGCTGACATACTACTTTCTAATAAAACTCTTGGAATGTGAAAAATCATATTTTTTTTAATCATAGGTTGCAATGCCCAAACATCCAAACATCCTCAAGTGTGTGCATCATCTATTAACATACCAGAGACCTCTCTGAATTGCTCAGTTGCTGATGAGTAGGTCAGGCACAAGCTCAAGCTGAACTGGGATTCAGAACAGGGTATTCTTCCTGTGCTGCCAGCGGGATGCAATCCTTTAGTTCTTGGAAAGTGGGCAGGAACTAGGAATTGGATGGCTGTGCAATTTCCTTAGGATGTTGATGACTGGCTGCTTCGTGAATTACATGAATCAGGAATTTGGAACTCCATCTCCCTCTACCCAGGTGACTGCACTAGTCACTAAGCTTGAGCTATTCTGGCGTGTTTCAGGACACTCTGTGCTGCCCTGTTGCTTCATGGCCAGAAATAGATAACTTTTTCTGACTAGGCTGACTGCAAAGGTTGCATGCCCCTTGCTGTCTGAATTCTCTCCTGACTGATTTA